TTTTCCTAGTGGTGGCATATAACAGAGGTTTGTGATGCCATCCACATAGTGGGTCAATATGAAATCTAGTAGGGATTATTCGGAATCCGTGATGTACCTAGTTGATTCGTTCACATGTTGCACTATAGCATGTGATAACCTCATCAACTAGTTTCTGTTCGCAAGAATTTCTTAACAACTCAGTTCTCAGATCTTCCCAGTCGACCGCAGGTGTTTTGGCATCTCGTAGGATCAAACGTCGGCCACTTTTTGAACAAGTATCGAAACTATCTAGGTAGACTTCGTTCACCTCATAGCTTCGGCTGCGGTGGACCAAACCAACCAGCTCTAGTTCCCTGCATTCCAAGCGTCAACTAACTCACACGTCCCACTCTCATGGGATGTCTTATCAATAATGACAAATGGGACAGTATTCCTGACGAACAGATCTACTTTTCCTCCTTTACTTATCTGGATCCTGTCGATCCATACTGTTGAACTTTAAAAATCAAGTTCCCTACCCTCTATACACTGAGCCAGTCAAGTTTTCATGACTGCAATTATATCCCGCTTGGTAGAGTACCTATGCACAAACTTCCAACCTCTTATCGAGCTAACTACGGGCAACTGTGAAACAGATCCGAAGCCCAGTTAAGTGATTTCGTGCTGTATCCAGAGTGGCTTCAGCATCGTTCTGTCGGAGACTCATTACCCGAGAATTTACAATCTTTTGGTTCTTTTCACCAACATTTAAGTTTTCGTTCTTTTTCCGTTTCTAGTCTTTCTATACTTTCCACGAGCGACAAGTCTTTGAGGACAAAGCTCCTAATCCCTTTAGTTTATGTCCATTCTGCAATATTAAGTTCCTTTCGTTGGTAGATTTAAATAGTACATTAAGCAGCCTGGATTAATTAATTTGGATACCTACTTCATAAACCTTTAGCATGATGACTCAAAAAATACCGAGGTATTAGCTGAATTAGTAGATTTTATCAACTCAACATCATGATTCAAACGAGTTCTAGGTTTTGAGACGACACTACTTGACTCTATGAAAGATAACTAACCTGTAGTTACGATCAATCTTTGATTTCTCTACTTTTGGAGATATTAGTTTTCATTTAGTAACATTATGTTGTTTCTTACTATCGATCTGTACCCACTCATCAATTTTCGTCGTAGTAGCAACCACAGTCGTGCCACACACACTGTGAGATCCCGGATGATCGTCGATGACTTGGGTGACCAGGTTCTTGTTTTTCCTGCTAGGAACAGACCTAACCTTATGACCAGGTTTTCTAGGCGTTTGTTGCTGGTTGACAGTTGGAAGACGGGGGACAGAAAAAATTCTTTTCTTGAGCTTTTATTTCTGACAGACCTCTTCGAAGTCGGTTCTTTCTCATTTGACCCATATAGGCCAACCAATTCTGAGCTTATCTGGAGTAACTTCACATCAATTTGTAAATCGACCGAGCGAGTACTGTCTGATGCTTCTCGGTTACGATTGTTAATACTCCTCTTATAAGCATTCACCATCGCAATAGCTTCGGACAACAAACTGCACCCGATCAGCACTACTGACACAACCACGAGCAACTATTTTTATTAAACTGTCTAAAAGCAGCAGGCTTTAGATTCGTGCAAACATCCTTTGTACTCATCGTACTGCATGACACTTTTGACATAAAATAAACTAAAAAATATCCAGGACAAGAGAAAATGATGACCAGAAGAAGCGGAAAACTAAATTATTAGAACCGAAATGCAATAAAATAATGCTCAGTCGGGTTACAATTTTTAGAATACCAATATTTTGCTAGTCCACTTAGCGGATGACATGCTCGACAGGCAGATCAAAGTTCATACTAGATAAACTCCTAGTAAGTCATCAACTAGATCTACTAAAATCTGAAGCACCACTACTCAGCTACCACACACACAATCTAAATGTTAGCAAAACACTACGGTCGAATGCATTTGTGAATTTGTTTGTTACTAGGAATATAATTAACATCTACAGCATATTGCACCATTTTTTTAAATTATCATGACGGAAGAAAAACAAGAATATACACAACACATAGCCATTAGTCAGACAGTAACAACGTAGAACTTCGTACGTACGTACATCAGTTCGAGTTGCCACACCACATTAGCACAGAGATGCAGTTGTCGATCCAAATCCCGTAGTGGCAGAGGTAGCAAGAGTGTAAGCAGTAATCGGGAAGATTAGGGTTTGGAGATGTTATTTAACGAGTATAATCCAGTGAAATAAATTTGGAAAGAGGAAAAAAAAGGGACATGAAGAATTCAGAAGATTAGAATTTGGGAGAACATAGAGAGTGGATGCACCTGCGCCATTGCAAACGATTTTGAGCCATGTCATTCAGGGTCTCTAACCATCGGTTGCTATCATCTCGCGGTCCCCAACCAGGTAGCCTACATCTACCGACATGACTCAGTCCACTTTTCAGTGACTTCATGGACTCGTGCCATGTTTTGGTCTGGCCGCCCCTAGCTTTCTTCCAACCTACTCCTATACCACTGAACATCGCACGTCGAGGCAGTCGGTCGTTCGGCATACCTAACACGTGTCCCAGCCATCTAAACTGATGAAGTTTCACTACTTCATCAAGTGATTTGCCATCCTTACCTAGTACCCGTTTCCTAACAACTGTGTTACTTACTCGATGGTCCCATTATATACGAGCAATGTTTCGAAGACACCTATGATCGAATACTAGTAACCTACGAATATCCTCTACTCTTACCGGACATGTTTCACTGCCATAAAGTAGGACGGGACGTACTGTTGCACAGTAAACACGTCCTTTGGTTGGTAGACGGATATCTCGCCTACGCCATAAATGACGCAAGTTGGCAAGAGCTAGTCGAGCCTTCTGTATCCGTGCTGAGATTTCGTCACACACCAGACCGCAAGGGCTGATGAGACTTCCAAGATAAGTGAAGCGGTCGACACACTCAACTACTTCACTCCCTATCACTAGTTCGGGTGTCGATGTAAACCAATCCTGAAGCAACATTTTGCATTTTGAGGGAGAGAATCGCATCCCAAACATGCTTGTATTGTTGCTTAGAGTGGTCAGAAGACTGCATTTTGTCAGCGTCTTCACCAAATAAAACTATGTCATCTGCATATTCTAAGTCAACAAGTGAACCTCCCGGTAGAAGTTCAACCCCCGGAAATTTAGATGAGGAGAGTGTCATCTCTAAAAGTACGTCGACCACAAAGTTGAACAAGAATGGGGAGAGTGGACAGCCCTGACGAACACCACTTGAGGTAATCAATTCTGATGACAGTTCGCCATAAGCTCTCACTCTACCAGTTGTGTTCGAGTAGAGAGCCCGAATAAGGTTAATGTACTTCTTTGGTACTCCTTTCAGTGACAAACACTGCCATAGAACCTCACGGTCAACAGAGTCAAATGTCACCTTAAGATCGAGAAAAACTACCATTGTGGGGCGTCTGAACGTGTGTCTGTGTTCTAGAACCTGACGTAGTGTGAATATCTGGTCTATACAACCACGTCCAGGTCGAAAACCGGTCTGATTTTCTCTAGCCCGTTCTTCACGAGCTTTGGTTAGGCGTCGAAGTACTATTAAAGCAATATTTTAGACACTATATTAGTCAAACTGATTCCTCTGTGATTGTCACAAGAGGACTTTTGTCCTTTCTTATAAACTGGCACAATCAGTGATTGAGACCAGTCAAATGGGATTACGTCCAGTTCCCAAATTCTACCTAAGACCTCGGTTAATTTCATTGCTAATACTGGACCACCATCCTTAAAAATCTCAGGAGTAAACCTGTCAGGGCCTGCTGCTCTCCCTCGCTTCAGATTTCCTATGGCATTTCCAACTTCGTAAAGGGACGGAGGACTTACATTAACTTGCCATTCAGGTTGACTAGAGATCGTGGGTAACCGAAGTGTGGCTGAAGGCCAGTTGAACTGATCACTGAAGTGTTCTGCCCATCGATCCAATCTCCTGGATTGAGAATGAATAATATGTTCATCTTTCTCTGAGATTGTTTCGCTAACGGTCGGGTTCCTAATTCCGGTTTCCTTAACGAGTCTGAACAATTGTCATTAACTCCATACTCATTTTAAAATGGTTTCCAAAACGAGGCAATCAGCATAAGTAGTGACGTCAGCAAATTTACGAAAACTGGGAATGTTTATTTTCAAACAAACAAGAAATCAAACGAAGACAATGAGTAACTATACGATTACAAATGCTGCATGCAGTTTAAAGAACAAACCGAAGATACCAGTATTGAAAATGTTACTCAAACTGACTAGTAAATCTTAACGGTCTGAAAAGAGTGGTTGTTGAAAAATCCAGACACAACGGTGATACTTAAAATTGTTTCTGAATTTCAGATCACGTGATGAAAAGATTATTGAGTGGTAAAAATATTTCCGGAACAACAACCTATCATGTTTTCTTGAAACTAATAATTTATATATATATGATCGTGTAGTATTATAATAAAATCATTGAAAAGAGATCGCTTCGCTGAACTTCGTGTTTCTGATAATTATAATAGCTCATCCTAAGTTGACCAATGTTATCAAATTCCAAAATGCTGTTCGAGTCCAACGCGGAAAAAACACGTGGGATCACATTCACGTTAGGATACTGTGCGCAAAAACCAGCAGCTATGTAATTTAAGAAGCTAAGGAGCCTCGACGTAGATCACAAGACGCATATATTTTCACACTACCTTTCACCTATTTGACAGCAATGAAAACGTAAAATTCTAAATAACATTCTGCCTTAACACCACCTAATGTAGATGAAACAACTAGAAAACTTTAAATGTACCTGAAGTACTATATTACCACCAACTTTGGAGTTTGCAGGTATGTTGGAAAGACCCTACGCCGTTAAGCAGACCGAACTTATCTATTACTTCCTCACAATGCTAAAAACCAGAAATAAGCCAGGGAGTGTTGTAAACTAAACCCATGACCAGATAGGATGAAAACAACTGTTAGTGACAATTTGCAAGACGATATGTTCACTGAAAAATCAGAAAAATATCATTAATAAAGCAAATGAAACTGAAACAGTACGACGAATTTATGAAGATATGTACAATGTAGAAAAAGGAAATGACAAATGATTTTAAAGAACCAGAATTTGGGTATACGTAGTAAACTAGTCGGTAGATGATGTAAAAAAACTTAACAACAGCCTAGAATAAACGATTGATTTATGTCAAAGTACGCTGTACGCGTTGTAGTCACTAAGGCACAGCAAACTGAAACATGAGCTAATCAAATAATAGAAATTTAGAGATATCAATAGCAAACAGACACACAAAACAGAAGTCATTAGATTAGGAATAAAGTTACAGTATCAAAACACTACTTTTTAACACCGTTTGACGCAGCATTTAGTGCCCACAAATTTTGTAACAAGGTCATACACGCTGCCGGATTAGCTGCAGCACCGCTCATTAGCTGTTGCAATGCGGCAGCATTAACTTGCTGATTTTGTTGCTGTTGAGCTTGTGCAGCTGCAGCAGCTTGTTGCTGTTGTAGTAAGTAGGTGTACTGTAGAAGTGCATGCTGCAATATTTGCTGTTGTTGTTGTCTAGTATTAGCTGTTGCTTGCGCCCCAGTAGCAGCAGCTAAATTATTGTTGAAAAAGATAAAAATGAATTTCAATCAACTTTTATCACCACTTATCAAACTATTAGAATTCTTTGAAACAAATTAACACCAAAAACAATGACACATCTTCAAAAACCACAGTCCGAAATAACAAAATCGATCAGTAATTAGATTAGTGTTACATGTAATCCTGTTCGCATATTTAAAGTATTTAGAATTCTATAGTAGTCGCTAAAAATAAATGGTTGAAAAAGAGACAGTTGAAGTAGGAAGTTTTATTTGCCTGTTTGAGCTGAAATTTAGAAAACATTATTCACGCTTTCTTTCATTTTGCTAGGACTGGATTTAGTGACAGTGCAGGCGGAGACTATGAATAAACATTATGTATCCCGATTTCTCCAAGTTCTTGCAATGTCATCCACTCAACTATGATATGAATTACTGTATAGTTGAATGTAGTTAGGAAGTTTATTTTCTGTTGTTAAGAGCAATTGTATGCCAATTATAGAGACCTAAAAAATTCACAACTAAATCTTGAAAAGTGAATTTTGAAGGATGGATAGCATAGATACTTATAATTCTGTTGTCTGATATGAGACAATCTTAGCGTAATCTGCAGCTGAGTACAGGGAGACTAGAGGCAACATTTTGCAAGGTCGAATGGTTGAACAGGTAAATGTTTATGTAAAGGATAGCGTTACTATTCGGTTTCTCGAACGAAAGCAGAGTTCGAACATGCGGAATTTGAGTTCTTCGACTACAAATTGAAGAGTATATCTTGATAGAAAGACCACATCCAGTACTGTGAAGAACAGTTGCAATCAGACCCACGTTAAATTTGTACTTTGAAAAGGACGCTCGAACCGCCATAGAACTTATGAGATAAATCGAATGTATAGACCTTTCACAAGTAAGATCAGAGCAATGAATAGACAGAAAAACGTAGCTAACTTATTGTTGCTGAGACAGAGTTCCCGAAAAAAGTCGTTTAGAAATATTGTTCGTAATTACCCAAGTCACACGAAAAACAAGACAATTTGCATTAATGACAGAGATTGAAATAGAAATATCCAAATTAAGATAATAAACATAAGTGTGATAAAATATACCTGCATTTCCCAAGAGACTGCTCATTAACAATGTCTGCATCTGCGTAAACTGAGCTAAGTGATCAATGGGTGAATTAGGCGTTACAGCTCCAGTTGAAGGTTGTGTGTGGTGTGGTTGTTGATGTTGGAAGTTTAGAGCTGCTACTGCAGCTAGCCTTTGTTGTGCCAATGCTGCAGCAGTTAACTGTTGTTGGGCGACCGATTGCTGTTGCTGATTAGTTGCCGAGACTGCTGCCGCTGCTGCAAGCATAGGATTTGCGGCTGCAGTCATCATCAAGTTTGCAGTGGCAGCATTACTAGCAACAGAATGATTAACCGGACTTTGACCACCACCAACAACTGCAGCAACAGCCGCTTTTGTAAGTTGTTGGTAACGAGATGCCAACTGCTGAACAACATTTCCTGCTACATGTCCCTGCTGTTGAACAGGTAGGGAAACAGGAGTATTGACGCTAACGTTATTGGATGTAGTTGGTCGACGAGACGAAACATTCGGCATTCCTAATTGAGATGAGGAAGCGCTGTTGACTACATTTGTTTGTCCATGCCTTGAGCTACTAGCATTATTAAATACATTCTGTGTAAAAATACAAAATCATTACAAAGACAAAACGGAGTAAAACCAACCTGAAAATCAAACTGCATGTTATAACTGATTCGAAATCCTAGTTATACATAATCTGGCAAACGAGTGAAATATGGTTCACTAGGTTTAGAGCAATACTTATTGTGTCGAGGAGATACTATCCGACTAACTAGATCAAAGTACATTAATCCAGCTTTGAACTAATTGTTGGCTACTGTACTCATGTACTCTGTAGACTAATACCTCTCAGACTAAAATGTGGTTCTATCGTTGCCACCGTATATGACATCGTGAATCGGTCCATGTATGCGCCAAGTTCTACGTTGTGCATAACTGGCTGACTGAATAAAATCGCAGCCAACATCGATATAACACCTGACCATCTAATTTTTTCTTAAGTGAACTTGATACTCCAATCAATGAAAACGCATCACAAAAATCTCCCACAACGTTCTTAATGTTTATTTTTGAGTACAAACGACAAATAAAAACATGATCAACCAATAAGTGCAGTTGGATTAATGAGCTATTTAGAACTCTTTGAGTAGATCAATGTATTCATAGTTATAGTCGCACTATATAACAGGGTTCATCAATCTCTTCTAACTTTATGGGAATACATCAAGATATATTATGAAGGCGATTTCTAAAGCTTTATAAAATGACACAATACAAGTTTGCGTTGTCCTAAAACTTTTAAAATATGGTATATTACGCAAACTCATTACAGAACATCTGTGTTACGTGACTTAACATATAAAGACTTAGGACTTTTTCCTTTAAAAACAGCCTATACTTGGTCAGTAAACCAGTAATTTTGTTAACTTAAATTAGCTTGCTTATTTGAAACGTTCTAATTCCCTTCACAAAAACTTAAGTCTATTGCTTTCAAAATTCAAAATAACTGTTAGTCAACTGATATAGCTTAAGTTATGATTGAAGAATTAATTCACCCCCAAATGGGGAGAGTCCGCTCTCCCTCTCGAAATGCCCTCACATGACCACGCGTATACAGCCACTGACAGGTAACTCCCATTCACTGACTTTTCTTGAAGGAGGTGTTGTTTACGAAATTGAGAGGACGAAAAGAGAATGTCCGGCGTTTTAACCGGGTTGGTAGACATGGAGAGTCCACCTAGAGGAGTTGGAAAACCCGGATTCAAAACCAGTGGTGCACATGGGCTCCAGCATCCTGAACATAGACATGACTATTCACCTATATTCCAATTAATTTTACACAATTTAGTCATAGATGACTAATCATGAGAATTTAAAGTTTAATGAAAGTTAGTGCTATTTAGTACAAGAACACAGAGACATGTAAACGTTAAAAAACAACAATTACTGTATAAGAACTTAAGATCATATCTGCTTCATCAAGCTGTTTGAGATAGAACCAAGTTCAAACTCACTATTCTATTGCCAAAAATCGGAGCGCCCAAACTTCTTACAATAGGAACACAAACACTTTAGACGTAGATATACAAGATCCTGAATTCCAGTCAGTTGTATTGACAATACTAGATTTCGGTAGTTTAAAAATATATAGCATTACTGAATTCACAGACATGCTCTAACTTACCCTTTGTAAAGTAACGCAATAATCATGGACTTATGATTGTAGAATCTGCTGGCGAAGTTGCTGGAAACATCTGTTCATTCAAATACTACACTCTTTGGAAAGTTATTCTAAACTTACAGAACAGTATTACCGAAATGACAAAGCATTTTTTGCAAGTAGGAAACAGCTATTATTTCCCTGACAGTGACGATTTCCAAATCGTAATTGTACATTTATTAAAATATCTAAACAGAAACTCGGATCTAACAAAACAAAGTAGCCCATTTTTTTAAACTGGAAGGCCTAACCATCAATCCAAAATAGACTATTTATCCAAGCTACCATATCTCACATCATTATCACACACACAAATATACATGTATCACCTTGACCGTAGTAACATAACGCTGACTTGATCAGATATGCTTTTAATTGAATGTAGTAAATATCTTTGTTTTGTTCCTTTTTACCAAACGAACTTCAGTTAGTTTAATTTGACTGTTAATTTATTTTCTGAAGTGGCTTGCACTAAGTCACGAAACGTCAGAAAATTCAATCTATTAGTCGTTGCAGTATAATAAGCAGTTTTTATTAAAACGGAAGTTTCAACGCAAACTTCGGAGATATTATGTTAGCTCTTAGTTTTAATACTCTAGGGCATAACTGTTATCAATAAAACTTGAAATTTAAATACTTTAATGAAAATTTACCTGAGACTGGAACCCTTGCTGCTGTTGTTGGTACCTTTGATTATGTAAGCCAGTAGCTGTAGCAACTTGCTGCATTTGTTGCTGCTGTTGTTGGGCTACTTGAGCTTGTTGAGTAACCAGAAGCTTTCGTTCATGTTCTTTAATAAAAGCTTCCAACTTAGCTGGTGAATTGACTACGTCTTGATATTCATGCTCGATTTCACGTTCTGAAGCAGCGTGCTGTTTAAGTGCAGCTGAAATAACACTACTATATGCTTTATGAATGACTGAACGCTGACTGTCAACTATACAGGCTTCACAAACAACTTCAGATGAACCTGGGCGCTTGCGTTTCCAAACAGGCGTGAAGTCCGTACCGCAACGTGAGCATGAGAATGGGTTAACAAAGCGAGATTGTTCAGAACTCTTATCCGTGCTCAATGGGTCGAAGTCCTATAACGTACAAACAATTTGAGTTATTTAAATAGCATTTCAGGTAAACTTCATTCGTCAAAAAAAGTGGACAGCTGAACATTATTCACTGGGGAAATTGGTTTTTAATGCACAACAGGAAACTTTGAATATGAGGATAAACTTCCCAGGTTAAAAAATGAACATTTAAGAAACACCAAGTGACCTAGTTGACAAGACACAGAAATTACGAATGTTGAGCGATGGTAGTTGGATTAATGGAACAAGGTTTCTACAGGTCAACTGTCTGAAAGATCCACAGAGGAAAATCAGAACAACACTTTTCTCAGCCACAAATACCCAATTAGAAATTTTGGGATTAGTAATTATTGAAACTTTATTATACTCACAGTTACAATAAATTAACGTTTCCCAATAGACAATTCAAGAGAGCAGCCTGTCCAACGAATCGAAGGCAACCCTGATATCAAGAAACATTACGACTGTTGTACTGTGATAAGTATGACAGTGTTCTAACATTTGGCGTAGGGTGAAGATATAGTCAATACATCTTCGAGCAGATCGAAAACCAGCCTGCTCCTCGCAAGTCGATCTTCCTCAGGTTTTGAACAATCTACGAAGTATGACCGAAGCAAATAGATTAGATGCAATCGGAAGTAGACTTATCCCTCGATAGTTGTTACAGAAACCACGTGAACCCATTTTAAAGATAGGAACAACTGTCGACTCACTCCATGATGTTGGAACACTCTCTAACTGCCAAACCTCTGTAAAAAAAACCGTCAGTTCCTTAACCAGAAAGTCACTACGATCTTTAAAAAGGGCCGGAGGTAAGTCATCAGGTCTGGTGATTTGTAGTGCTTCAAGAGTTCGAGTTCCTTGTGGACCTTCACCCCGTTAGGTGAATCATTCGTCACAAGCCATAGAGAGTAGAACAGTCTGATCGATGTTACCGAGGTAGCAGACCAGTTGAACCGCTCTTCAAAAAACTCTGCCCATCATCCAAGACGTCGACAAATGCTTGTGATTGGCACCTCTAAATCTTTACAGATTGTTCCGCTCACACCAGACCTCTTGCTGCCAGTGACTCGGGTGAGTTGGAAGAGCTTCCGGCAGTTACCAAATGCAGTTGCTGCTTCCAATTCATTAACACGCTCCGACCACTAGGCTTCTCGGTCCTTACGCAAGCTTTGCCCAACCTTATTACATAACAGCCGTCGTTTGTGATCAAACTTACGGTCACATGGAGTAAACTAAAGGGATTCAATGACTTGTAAATAGCCCGGATAAATCCAGTGTTTATAGGCGGGACGTTCCAGTCAGTCAGTCAGTAACAACGTAGAACTTCGTACGTACGTACATCAGTTCGAGTTGCCACACCACATTAGCACAGAGATGCAGTTGTCGATCCAAATCCCGTAGTGGCAGAGGTAGCAAGAGTGTAAGCAGTAATCGGGAAGATTAGGGTTTGGAGATGTTATTTAACGAGTATAATCCAGTGAAATAAATTTGGAAAGAGGAAAAAAAAGGGACATGAAGAATTCAGAAGATTAGAATTTGGGAGAACATAGAGAGTGGATGCACCTGCGCCATTGCAAACGATTTTGAGCCATGTCATTCAGGGTCTCTAACCATCGGTTGCTATCATCTCGCGGTCCCCAACCAGGTAGCCTACATCTACCGACATGACTCAGTCCACTTTTCAGTGACTTCATGGACTCGTGCCATGTTTTGGTCTGGCCGCCCCTAGCTTTCTTCCAACCTACTCCTATACCACTGAACATCGCACGTCGAGGCAGTCGGTCGTTCGGCATACCTAACACGTGTCCCAGCCATCTAAACTGATGAAGTTTCACTACTTCATCAAGTGATTTGCCATCCTTACCTAGTACCCGTTTCCTAACAACTGTGTTACTTACTCGATGGTCCCATTATATACGAGCAATGTTTCGAAGACACCTATGATCGAATACTAGTAACCTACGAATATCCTCTACTCTTACCGGACATGTTTCACTGCCATAAAGTAGGACGGGACGTACTGTTGCACAGTAAACACGTCCTTTGGTTGGTAGACGGATATCTCGCCTACGCCATAAATGACGCAAGTTGGCAAGAGCTAGTCGAGCCTTCTGTATCCGTGCTGAGATTTCGTCACACACCAGACCGCAAGGGCTGATGAGACTTCCAAGATAAGTGAAGCGGTCGACACACTCAACTACTTCACTCCCTATCACTAGTTCGGGTGTCGGCGGGACGTTTATCGAAGGGGCAAGTGACTTTACTCGCTTTTCATGGCGTCATGAAATCGCAACCAATGCCCATCTATACTTTTCGATGGGATGGTAGCTATCCTTGAACTTAGCTCGGTTTGATATTTAGTTGCAACAGGAGCTGGAACCAATTTACTGGCATCGATCGGTTTAGGACGATGAATTCGTTGGCCACTGAAAAGGTAAGATTAGTGCAGACAAGGGCATGATCAGAGTCCAGATAGTTACTCTAAAAAAAGCAGTCTTGTATACAACCACACCAGCGGTAGCTGATCGAGGTGTGATCAATCTAAGTTCAGACTTGAGATGCAGAGAGAGGAGACCAGGTGGCACATCGTCGACGACTGTGTTGGTAATTAGTGCTAACCAGAAACAGGTTGTGGTCTGCGCACTGTTGCAGTAGCCGGTCACCGTTATCTGACGTGGGACCAGCAAGTGCTCATCAGCCACCTAAATGACTCTCTTCTGTGCCTAGACGCCCGGCCTGAGCATTCAAGTCTACGGTTAGTACTACAATATCTATCGAACGTACTTTCTGTAGAAAATTATTATTATTTGAACACATAAATATCGGTACAAGGAGGCACCAAATAGATATGCGCCACACCCGGAGCCTTGGATATGAAGGTCTAGTCCACAGGGCAGTGGAGCATCATAAGGAGATGCAGTCCTATGGTAGCCGTTGACCAACAATAGATTCATACACTATTTGTTCCTTCACGATACTGGAGCTCATGTGCACCACTGGTTTTGAATCCGGGTTTTCCAACTCCTCTAGGTGGACTCTCCATGTCTACCAACCCGGTTAAAACGCCGGACATTCTCTTTTCGTCCTCTCAATTTCGTAAACAACACCTCCTTCAAGAAAAGTCAGTGAATGGGAGTTACCTGTCAGTGGCTGTATACGCGTGGTCATGTGAGAGCATTTCGAGAGGAAGAGCAGATTCTCCTCACCTTCGGTAGTACCTGAAGAACTGTTAACTGGTAGTAAAACTAATCTCTTAAGGATATTAGCTTACGTACCTCCTTTTGAAAGGAGAAAATGTACATTATTGATGGGGATAGAATAGTGTAAGCATGATACTACTCAGAGCCAGTGGGGATTACATTGATTCAAGACACCGGTAGGGGGGCTAAAAGTAATGATTTATGTACCTTACTGCCAACAATTCTCACTCAAGAACTAAGGTAAACAAATTATGAGATAAACATTGAGTTATGACTCTGAGTAAAGAAATAATAAATTCCTGGTATACAAACAAAACAACCTAGAAAATCGATAAGGATTGGTTTGAGTTGGCTTCTCACGATTACTTAGTTCCATAAAAATAAATTAGTTTCAATCTGGCTTTCCCTATGAGTTAGAAAAGATGTTTGGCTTCGTGAATTTCTGATATTAAAGATAGGGTTTTGAAAATACTAGCATCACAAATCTATAAGCAAATACTCGTAATAATACCTTGTGTTGGAAACTACAGACATATATACACTGGTTTATGAGACCATACACTTAGTTCGACAGCATCATCACCACGTATCCACTAAGTTTCTCAAGATTCTTAAAATACGAGACTTCACAATTTTAAGTGACCTGCAAGTGCCAACTGTCTGTACTTCTCTAACGATAATTGATTCCTTTCTTTTCGCCCTTCATCCGCGTGCTTATCGACTTTTAGATCCGACTATTATTGGTATTAACTTTTCTGCAGCAGCTTCAAAGTTCTCATTTGGGATGATGGTGGTTAATACAACTGACTTAACAAGGTTCCATGTTTGAAACGTACTCCCCATTTCTCGGTTGGTATAATAATCTTCAGAACAAAATATGAAGGCCGAGTAGGGACAAATAAATTTGTGTTACTCAGCACATGTCGGGTCATTGTTAAATACACGGCCTTGCAGTGGCTTTTGGTATCTCGGGATTGTGTTAGACACCTCATGTTTCGGACTGCATCATATCAGACAAGCTCAACTCACGAAAGTTTTTAGTAGAAAAAAACTATCCGCCCTTAACCAGCCAAATAAATAAGGTATATTTATCGTCATTAGACATGATTGTAACAAAGCTAACATTGCGTTTATAAGATTTAGCATAGCCGGCAAGCCAGGAAGTAATGAAAAGGGAGGTAACCTGACATTAAAACCTCAGGAGCTACCGGAAATAGCGAACTCAATCGTTCGTCCGCATCCGTTGCGCACAAAGTTATTGGAGAAAAATAGGAAGAAAGCTACTTTATGACCACAGGTTAAAATACTTACTTGTATGGTAGTTACGATTTCCTCAAGACCTATCATTGCAGTAAACTCGTTTGTCAAAGTGCTTGGAACAAAAGGTACCACAGACAATCCATTTCCTACGGCAGGCTTTGGAAGAACAACTTTATCTAGCGTTCTCTCTAATTGCTTCCGAAGCATTGCTTTTTTGCCACTACATTGTTGTTCGAGAGCATGGATAGCCATTCCTTTGGTTACTTTCGTTATTGCCGTCGCGTTTGTCGGATTTACCGCCGCAGTGTTCTGGGCTGGAGCTAATGAGAAGATATTTAGTGCCTTAAGAAACTTACATAGTGTTGCACGACCACCAGTTGTTGACGGGACATTTCTAATCACAGCTTGGCTGACAGCTGGCCGAACTAAGTGAGATGAATAAATAATAAGCATGTACCTTGGTTAACGGGTGATTGTGTACTTCGAACTGTATTTGTTACACTTGATGAGACTTTTGTACTTTTCGGCTGTAATGCATGCGAACGCTGATTGGCTCGCAACTGCTGAAGCAAAACCAGTGCACTTTCTTCATTTCTAAGTTCATTTTCCAGTTTTAAAAGAAATGCACGCGACTTGGATAGAAGTGATTGCTTGGGAGCGTTTTCTTTTTCCATTTCATCGCAGAGGGACCCAAGTAGACGATCATCCTCATCCTCGCTTAGCATAATAACATCATCATCATTCTGCAGAAGTGAGTGCAAAATAATAACTTACCCTGCTAGAAAGTTTTTCACTGCCATTAATAACATGGTTAGACTTCCGACTTAAATCTAATACATCATCAAAACATTGCCTGGAAGAGTCATCATACGAACGTATGTCATACCTCTTGGTTGGGGGCTCCATCTCGCCCAAAGGTTCGTTCGACAACGCTTTTTCCAATGCGGCTGAAATGGTCAAAGTGAACAGTAACAAATCCTATTAATACAATGATAAAACGAACCCAGAATTAGATCACGTAAGTCAAATGACGAGCCATTCGGCAGGCAACACCACTTAAACAACAAGACGACTAGTATCCTTGTCCTATCTTGTCGTGAAAAATCATTTGTGAATACAGTATTGTTTTTCAGAGCTGAACTTTGGGAAATGCCTGACTTAGCCGGGAGCAAGTTAAAACTCTAGCCTAAGGGGGGGGGGGCAATTATTCGATCAAATTGCAGGTTCTTGAAATAAGAACTCTAGGAAGTTTGAAACATCATCTGCCTCACTGCACACAGTTGGGTCATTTAACAATGACTGAACGAAAGATTAGTGAGTATTAGTCGCGGAGAAAACTCGATCCCTCCTACTAACAATATAACGACTACTTCCTACCGATCTCCTTAACCGTCATTCAGTGGGCAACTTAAATAATTATTTAGTCACGTCACTGAACGACTCCCAACAGCCACGGGGAAATCCAGATTGTAACTGTTTGTAATGCTTTTCTTAACCGGATCCGAGGTCTTCAGTCACCAAGCTCTGGTTTTCAAGATGCATCAAGCTGGGTTTGTATGTTCGGTACAGTCCTTACCCGTTGCCTAAACGCCTCATTTTTCAAGGGGTTGATGTGGACTGCTTTGTATTTCATATTAGCCCCTCAGGAGTGCAGACCTAGTAGCTACAATTTCAGATGGCGAAGGAACGAAACTTACCAAGGAGCAAGAAATTGTAGCCAGCATTATAGTTTTGAGGAAAGGATAGTTTTGATGTATCGTATCTTTCACTACCTTAGTTCCGAGATATGAGAGAGGCTCCCTGAAATTGGGATACTCGTGACAAGTCGTGAGTGAATAAATAGTCTCATGAGTCTTCTACATTGACGCCGACCTCATTTCCATTGCCAAACACACCATAGTTGAAAGCATTCGGCCACGTAACCGTGCCAGACCACGAGCGGGTACGCCGTGCTACACATTCCTCGCGACTACTCACCAGCTTAGATCAAACGGTCCTCAATGCATATATCCTCGCACACATCCATCCTTGACTTCTGATTTGACTTGGTTGGTATCCACCGATTATAAAGGTATGACAGATTAAAGTCTAATTAAACCCCGAATATCTGTAGTGTCCTTAAGACAGTGAGAGTTCACACCCTTATCAACAATTTTACACCTCAACTCAAAAACTAAGTTTATGTTTCTCACTATACCGAATCAAGGACATCTTTGGTGTATAATAAAGATGATGTACTCATTCTTTATTTTTATAAATCAGGTTTCTCTGAATACAAAAGCATTTCCTACATAACATGGCCACAGTTTTAGGCTACCGAACACCTCTATCACTCAATAGGCAATACAAATTACTTCTCGTGTGTTCACTAAAGGTAGCCAAAAGGATAACCGGGGCCAGTCTGACATGAGTCGCCGTGTGGTCTACAAGTCAGAAAAACCTTACGACTAATTCCTGGGATCTCTTGTGAAACAATGCAACCTTCTGTTAGCCTCGGGTAGGTGTTTACTACCGACATTTACTAAAAGGGAGTGATTGGTGTAGGTCATGAAAATAAAAGCTCACATTGTAACTAGATAAGAGGATTTAACCATCTGATTCACATCAGTTTTGAAAAATTGTATAACGAAAAGGATTAGTTTTACAAAAATCATCTACAGGACGAATCACAACAACATCCAGTGTCTCAACACAGTGAAGCACTAGACAATACAGAACGAAAATTCTATTTGTTGCGTGGACTAAGGGTAAAGGAATTTGGTGGGAGAATTCGTCCCATATAATAACTACACACTTAAAGACTAACCTTTGAAGCCGATGACCGTAGTATTCATTAATAATTCCACATAAATGTTTGAGGTTTGAAGACTAAATAGTCAGAGATATGAACGAAATAATAAAAGGGATATTTCACACTAAATAAACTGTCGTTTGAAGACCGCGGAAGGTTATTGACTCTCAAATCACTTGAAGACTGAATAAAATGGTATGCTTAAATGACCTATGAATTTTGTATTAACGAGGTTGCAACATCACTCATTTGAAGATGGTCAACAAGGCGATCCAGTGAGTTTATTGATGCATTTAGCAATGAATTCCCCATTAAGTTTAAAAACTGTCCTCGACTTGGGTGGTGTGATGCAGCAATAAATCCTATAATCACTATGGTATTTATATGGAACACCTCTAAATAATCCTACTATGTATGCAGATGTATAAATCCAAAAACAGTCACAACTAATTTTGTCCTTAACGTTTTCGAGGATCAGCGCTATGAAGCTTTCATACAATAAATGAAACGAATCTTCAAGATACAAAAAGCAACGAGTAGACCCCACTCATTCTTTAACAAACGCTTCAGCTTCATCAGGTATGTCAAACCCCTGACCTAGTGATAGTATTTTTTGTAAGTGTGGGTTTTCATTCAACAGGTTATGAAATGAATCCGTTTTATTCCGCGAGTATTTGTGTAGGGATCCAGTTGCATGATATAAGACAGTAGAAAGACGGAAGTGAAAAACTAAGGACATCAGGATGGATATAGTATTGATGAAGTTCAGTGGGAAAAAATCTCATTCGTAGGGGTTATTTGTCAAGCATTTATCCACTTAAAGTGCCAAGAAAAATCAGGGGGGGGCATTAGGCAGTTGTTTTGTCCAGAACTTTTCAGTGGTGACAAACAATACCTAGAAATCGAACTAACCCTCAAAGATCCCCTTCAATAAAACGCCGGCCACCAGGTTACTAGTAAAATTCTTTGCCGTTTCAGTGGGCTTCAGATGTACCGTCTGTGTCATCGATGTCACCAGATGGTTGTTCCACCATATCAGGTACTAACCGAAGTTACAGATACGTATCAATGAAAGTTAAATCAGTGGCTCGAAGACCCCGGGTTTGATCCCTTATAAGTACGCGTTCGCATACTTCTAGTGAATCTTACACAAGCACGAGACATCATTTTAGTCAATCCTGGTTTTCAGTGGTACCCCAGACGAGATTAGAAGGTGAGTACCACTTGCAGAATTACAATGTGTTTGACGCCACATCACTTAGTGAGAATTCCAAAAGAAAAGTTCTGTATGCCCAACAAGAACTGAAAACTGAATCCATCAGAAAGAATAGTCGCATATTATTTCACGTCTTTAGTTACTTACGATAGGACAAAAATGACTGAGATAATTTGATGTAATGCATAGCATCTAACCGACGATTCAAACAATAATAATTTGTTTCATCTTTAGCAAGGTAAATACAGAGCTAGAATATAGTACAGGTTACTACGCATATCGAAACACACTGGACGCAAGTTGGACAACAACGACTAACTTCAGGAGAGCTTCTGTTATACTCCGGCCATGAAGAAGAAAATGCTCCAAATACACAAGGAATTGCACTGATGCTGTCCAGACAAGCACAAAATGCACTTAAAGGATGGGAATCTCATGGACCAAGGATCATCAAAGCCTCATTTAAAACAAAGAAAGAGGGCATTTCAATGAACATCACCCAATGCTATGCGCCTACCAACGATTACAATGAAGACGCTAAAGATCAATTCTACAATAGACTGCAGTCAATCGTCGAGAAGTGCCCAACAAAGGACCTGACCATTCTGATAGGAGACTTCAATGCCAAGGTTGGAACGGACAACACTGGATATAAAGACATCATGGGACGACAATGACTGGGAGAAAGGAACGAAAATGGTGAGAGATTCGCAAACCTATGTGCCTTCAATAAACTGGTTATAGGCGGCAGCATATTCCCACACAAACGCATTCACAAAACCACATGGACTTCACCGAATCACACCACGCAAAACCAAATCGACCATATTTGCATCAACAAAACGTTCAGGAGGACTATAGAGGACGTGATAACCAAGAGAGGAGCCGACATAGCCTCAGATCATCACTTGCTGGTTGCCAAGATGAAATTGAAACTCAAGAAACACTGGACAACGGGGCGGACAATATCACAAAAGTTCAATACGACCTTTCTTCAGGATACTGACAAACTCAACAAATTCAAGATAGTCCTAAGCAATAAGTTCCAGGCCTTTCATGATCTACTCAGTGGAGAAGGAACTACTATGGATAGCAACTGGAAAGGGATCAAAGAGGCAATCACTTCAACATGTCATGAGGTCCTGGGTCACAAGAAGCGCCATCACTAGGAATGGATCACTGTTGATACACTGGATAAGATTCAAGAAAGGAGGAATAAGAAAGCAGCAATCAATACCAGCCGAACAAGAGCAGAAAAGACCAAGGCACAAGCTGAATACACAGAAGTAAACAAGCAAGTGAAGAGGAGCATCAGAACCGACAAACGTAAATATGTGGAAGATTTAGCAACGACGGCGGAAAAGGCTGCAAGAGAAGGAAACATGAGACAACTGTATGACATAACAAAGAAACTCTCTGGAAATCGCCGCAAACCTGAACGACCAGTGAAAAGCAAGGAAGGCGAGGTAATCACTAACATTGAAGAGCAACGAAACAGGTGGGTAGAACACTTCAAAGAACTCTTGAATCGACCAGCCCCACTGAACCAACCCAACATCGAAGCAGCACCCACGGACCTCCCAATCAATGTTGGCCCACCAACAATTGAAGAAATCAGCATGGCCATCGGACAAATCAAGAGTGGCAAAGCAGCAGGAACAGACAACATTCGATCAGAGGCACTGAAAGCAGACGTGGTGCCAACTTCAGGGATACTTCACATTCTTTTCAATAAGATTTGGGATGAGGAACAAGTACCAACAGACTGGAAAGAAGGACTTCTGATCAAAATACCGAAGAAAGGAGATCTCAGCAACTGTGATAACTACAGGGGCATCATTATTCTCTCAATACCAGGAAAAGTCTTCAACAGGGTATTGTTAAACAGGATGAAGGACTGTGAAGACGCCCAACTTCGTGACCAACAGGCAGGATTCCGTAAGGATAGATCGTGTACTGACCAAATCGCAACTTTACGGATCATTGTGGAACAATCAATTGAATGGAATTCATCACTGTACATCAACTTCATTGACTACGAAAAAGC